GACTTGCAAGCCTAGCTATCAACCAACTTTCAACCAAGCAAAATGTTAGGCTGTCTTATAATGATAAAAAAAAGGTTTAAAAAAGAAGAAGTAGGTATTTCGTGTCCTAATAAAAGTTCAATATTGTCATCACTGTACAGGACAGGTAGTATTGATGACAAAGTTAATTAATTATGAATGCAGCAAGAATAAAACTCGACACCTAATGAGATCATTGCATAGAGGTTCAACGACTGATTTAGCATGTTTTTGCGGCACAGGCGAAGGGTGTAGCGTGGGACTTGGGTGTTTGTTCTAAGTTGTAATCTGTATTCTTAAACTTAAGAGCTGTGCTTTTCTTAACTTTTCTAGATACGTGCAGTTCATTCACGAAGGTCTCTGTCACGTAATTATTAATAGGATCCTCTGAGTTCCTACTTAGGTATGAGGGATATGAGTGAATAACGATAAGTCTTCCAAGTCAGACTTCAGGGTCTTCGTCTTAAAGATATTATTACAAACTTTCCCACTAAATTTTCATAATATTTTAGTCGACTATAAATTATTTACATTTAGGCTAATAAACTCAAATACAGCTCCTACTTATTTACGATCAGAATATTCTTATGTAGAGCTATTAAGTACCTAATAGACGAATACGATCTAAGTAAATTAGTAATTTTCAAGAAACAAATAAAACTTAGGTAAGAGGTACTTCTAGCGAAGAAGTTTTCCCGCCATTTCTTAACGCTTAAACCACACAAATTATTGCAAATTTTAACACACCTTGGTCCTTGGTGTCATTTAATGTTTGTTGTTCATAAAGACATCTGTGCCCTGAATAAAGCAGAATGGGTGTATTTTCAAGAAGTTACAAGAATTGCTGTAAAAAGGTAGTTAAAATAAATCATTTTTACTTTACATAACTATTTTACTTGAATCAAACTGCATGCAGTTCAATATCTCATTAAGTCGGTCTTACAGTTCAGTTCTAATACTTGCATGATCAAGCATTACGAAAAAAGTTAAAGAAAAAGGGCTTTTCTTCTTCATTTTCTAAATTCGTATTTGTCGTTGGTTATTTTGAAATTGTTGTTATATGGGTCATTCCATGAAAATCTGTATATTTTGGACGTCATTTTGACCCAAACTTTTTTAAGATGCTTTTGAATACTTTATTAGTGTAAATTAAAGTTTATTTATTAATTATGTTATGTCTAAAAGGGCCAGTCACTTTATGCTTTATTTTAGGAGAAATTACAATTTTCAATTTTTTCATACTACATTACTCCTATATGACTTTCAATAAAGTATAAAACTTATAACCTTAACATTTATAGATAAGTTAATATACTTCATGTAGGGTTTTTTTTATTATCACTATATAAAAAACGTCATTCCGTAACTAGTAACTTAGTCCCTAGCGCCGTTTAAAGCTAGGGCCTGACGTCTAGGGACTGACGATTTGGAGTAAAACTTAACACAAATGCAGATTAACTTTATAATGTAAGATGCTTAATACGATGTGCCGAAAATAGCCGAAAAACCACACGTAAATACTATTAAATTATATACAAATACCTATTGTAATCAATAAAGCTACTCAACTAGGGACTGACGAAGTGACTGGATTAACACATGTTTCCGCAACAACTGGCACGTTTGCACTAATTCAAAAAACGGCTGCCGCAAAGCCAGTATGGTCTGAGGATAACTTCGTATCGTACTTTAAACTCAACTAAATGTCATTCACTATAGATACATATTGTAGCGCAAAATTATAAAACCAGTGCGTGGCGAGGGAATGACGCTAAAAGCTGTGGACTCTTTTTCAAGTACAGAAAATCAAATAATTGTTTATTGAAACCGCAAAATATTAATAGAATTTGGTGTAATATACATTTAAATAGATTATTCGTTAATTAAAACAAAGGATCAAATTGATGTTTCTATATGGGTTCCAAAACACAAACTTTTGGAGTACGGACATGTCTAGGGAATGACGTTTTGGGTAATTGAAAAGGAATTTAAGATGTTTTAATAATAGTTTTAAAAAATATAAATGGGTGATGAATAAAACACATTGCGAGCTGTTATTTAACAATTTTGGAATAAAATATTAACAAATATTCCATGTGAAATGTGGCGCGGACTAAGAGTTGACATATTTTTGTGGAATGACCCATATATAGCCTGACCAGGAACATAAAAACCCTGGCATAGAGGCGCGACAATTGCATTTGATAGTGCAACACTGAGTACAGTCGTACCTGTATTAAATTAATAGGCTAACTTTATGTATCAGGATTCAGGATTATGGGCTAATTTAATATTTTCATAAATAAACAAAAAATATTATAAACAGGTAAACTGGTTTAAATAAATTAAATGAAACCATCAATCGAGCAAGTAGGATTTAATTATTATTCATCAATAATCAAATTCTAAACTTGAATATTCAACTACAATGTCTGCTCATGAACGCTTCAAACTCGGTACTTCTTTCCCAATTCCATAAAATTCAACACTTACAAAGTGACAAAAAACTTTAAAATAGGTAGTTGAAACAAACCACAGCTAATTTTCATAGTTGACTGTACTATACGATAAACATGTCAGTCAATTTGACAACCTTTGTCGGAAACATTATTCAATGAAAATATTGTCCGAACCCTTAGTATTTCTCTTCGACAAATACTTTAACACATTGTGAACCACTTTTCTTTCACGACTATAAAAATATTTTAGCAATTTAATTCACAAAATCAATTGCGCACATTTAAAATAAAGTTTGTTTACACTTTGACAACAATAGACTGACATGCAAGGTGACATGTCAATGAAGTTTTCAGTTACTGTTGCCATTAAAAGAAATTAGTACCATTAATTTTCCGCAACATGGCGAGGGTTTTTATGTTCCTGGTCAGGCTATAATATTATAAATTATTTATTTGATAGTTATGTTAAAACTCCTTGATACAATATCTATTTTTGGGCATTGAATGTCAAAAAAGTTTTGAAAATTCACGTCAAAAGTGATGTCAAGTTCGCTAATGACATACTTAAATGTTCAAATGCGATAAACCAAATAAAACCAAGCGCACGATTGAAACCATAAAAGAAGTTCAAATCCTATCAACATACTTCGAGCGTGTAAAAAATTTAACTTATCCCTTTACATACGCAACTATTTTAAGTAATTTAGAAACTTCTTTAACAATGTCGTGGTCATCAGTTCGGAGGACAAGAGAATACAAGTTTATAATGGTATCGTATCATGATTATCGTAACTTTTCTGATAAACGATATCGCGGACTTTACCTACAATGATTAATTAGTGTAGTGCTACCGGCAGATTGTATCGTTGCATTGCTGCTTGCAGTTTTAAAATGTTGGATTATTTTAAAAACCATGGCTGATGGTGTAGTAGAGGATTCTGTATGTTACTGTTCTTGTACTCACAAAAGTGTTTTCTCTAAAGAAGTAAAAACAGTGATTAAAAATTCTTTTGTTTTGCTTCAGATCGAGGAGGTTATGCAGCAGAAGGCGCCAGGGGTGCCTAGTAGTCTCAAACTCCAGTAAGTTATTTTAAAGATACCTATTATAGTTAAATACTATTTTAAAAATGCCTAGAAAGAAAATGCTTAAAAGTTGGATCAGTGTTAGAGCGCCATCTATTGATTGCACCGAATACTATCTTGTAACGAAATGCTTTGTCATTTAGCATTGTGTAGGCGAGGCGGTATTGTATTTTCGCCGCTCCTCCATATGGGGATATAGCTCAGTGGTAGAGCATTCGACTGCAGATCGAGAGGTCCCCGGTTCAAACCCGGGTGTCCCCTGACCAAAAGTCACTTTTTGTTTTTGATTTAATATTTTAATTGATGTTTTTTTACAGTCAACCGCAAAGTTCCGGGGCTCAAGTCCGCACGAAGGGCTTCTCGGCCAATTTCTTCAAAGCCACCTTCAGCTCGAGAAGTAAGGCGGTCCCTGCCGCCAGCTCTACCCACTTCGTCTCCGAAACCACCAAAATAGGCAGCGCGGAGACCAAACCTATTACGAGAAATCGGCCTAGGACTGGTAAGTACTCCATACTTAATTAAAATATTTACTAAAAACATGCGTCACTAATTTCTTTTTTGTGGTAATAACGTAGGATTTTTTTGCAGCACCGCAAGCCGATACTTCGACAAAGGTCAAACTAAAAAGGGCTGATCCGAATAAACCGCCAGTTAAACGTCCCGATAAATTAACGCTTGACTTCAAGCGTCCTGAGAGACCAAAACAAGCGCTCACCCCTACCCCCGATCCAGGGGGGCCAAAGACCCCCAAGGGAGACCCCAAGAATGACCTAAAAAGCCCAAGAGTTGTCCTACAAATAGTGAAAAAGTCACACGCACCGCCGACACCGAGCAGCATCCTGCCGCCATCTTTGAAACCTAAAATCGTCGATCAAAAACTTAAACTTACGAAGAATATAAACAACAATGACGTCTGGACGAATTATGAAACAAAATCCTTGGAGCGGAAGAAACCAGCTTCGATATTGAAGTAAGTTTATTTTTATTATTTAAAAATAATTTTAATAACAAAAACTTAACGTTCGCAGTATCACTGATCGAAAACAGATTTAAAATTGCGCGCTAAACGGTCATGTAAACAATGCCACAATATGTACGAACCGAAAATAGCTCTTATCACGATACGTTACAGTTTGCTTTTCACAACTCAAACAACGTTGGTAAACCTGATTGACGCACGTGACGAAGATAATCTTTTTTGCCCATATACTTGTCTTCCTCTAACACACAGAAATGTCCATTTCTTACCTTCGCATATGTTATTGCTTTGCTCTTCACACGCGCTTCTAGTTTCCTCGATGTATTAAACGGCTCAGTGCTAGGTGGCGTTTTTGGTAGTGACGTCGAAGGAGATGTAGGGTCTTTTGAATTTGTCCGGCTAGTAGAAAGAAATGCAAGATTGTTTTTCCCAGTCGCACGGTGTATCGGGCACGCAACAGACAAGTTTGTTTGAATCGGCGGACCACGGATGTCGTTTTAGCCGGTGCTTTCTTTTTTTCGAACTTTTTATGTAACAAACAAAGTTATAGTTTATCGATGGTGCATTAGTTGTGCATTTATAGTGACGTGTACGTTTTTCGGCTATCGGTGTTTGGTAGTGAGGTGATTTTAGTGTTGTGTTGGTGATTGTCGCGATGCCTGATGTTAAAACAATTGAACTTATTTACTTACTGGTGTCATTATTACACAGTCGCTTTCTCATATTGGTCGGTGTTGTCTGACACATTAGTGAATCGATGCATCGTGTCGTGTGTGACGTGAAAGTTGGGGTTTAACGCAGATTTGCGTTAAAACATGTTTTACGCTGGCACCTACTTATCTCGTTTAGTTGTAATAAGCAGTCTAGTTAGTGGACCGAGTGTGAGGCAGGCATAAAAGAAGGGATTGATTTATGATGAATTCGTTGCGAAATTTACACATAACCTTCTTAAGTTCATATATTAGTTAGGTACGGTAAAGTAAGTAGTTATTACTTATTTATTTTATTAATTCATCTCACAATATTGTAGACCTTTGGTATCTAGTAAGTGCCTAGGTAATTTTATTGTTTTGCTTGAAATTCTCATAGCTTTCTTACAAGTGAGAGTCCTATCACTTCAAAGAGCTTTGCTTCTATGTACCTACCTAGATGTAATGTGTAGTAAGTAGATATTGAGTAGGTATTTAGAAAATAGCCTATAATCTTAGCTAGCTGCACGGATCTTCATCTAGGTACCATACCTAAACATCAGTACCAGTCAGTGTGACTGGCAGGCAATCTACAAAAACACAAATGCTACAGTGGGATTTCAAATGAAAAAAAATTGATAAATTCTCATCATTATTTTGTTTTTTGCTGGGAGATCTAATTAACAATTCAACTAAGATTTTCTTGGCAAATAAACAATAAAAAAACATTATGAATCTGTTTATCATTTGTTTGCCTCGTTTTAATACGAGGTGACATTTACAGCCCTTTTATTACACCTTCTTGGATCTGCAATTAAAGTAACTTGATCCATTGAATGTTGTTAGTATCTGCTCTTTACCAGCTACATTATTTCGTGCTATATTTAGACATGGAATTCCCGGTCCAAGTCTGAACTGGGATTTATCTACCAAGTATGGGCTACCAAGCATAATAATATCAAGCTTGACACTGAGGTCTTAAGTCGTTGCTATAGGTGTTATTTTGCAACAAAAATGTACAGTCTGATGTGCTGTGGTCTGTACCTAGATACACCAGTAGCTATACAGAACCTGATTCTTAAACCGTAAACGAGTCCTCGAGCCTTATTCTGCAATCGAATACCCGGCTAGCTCACGGTTTAATTCAAGCCTTATTACCTACTCGTCTTAGAAGATACTAATTCTACCTAATTCTTTACGGCTTGTGCGATTTCGCATGCGAATTGCAAATCTAATGCTTGGAAAATACGCCTCCTTATTTGAGTTTCGAAACGTAATGATTGTCCAAAATGATCAGCACTGGGCCCCTATATTATCATAAAGGCACTAATGCAAACAGATGCGCTATCCCCCTTGTATATTTTTTGTTAAATTTGTTGCTAAGAAAAGCAAAAGTAATTCGAAAATATGGAAATGCAACCTATAAATTAAGACGGAGACAAATGCGTCGTAGGCGGCTCGGCATAGTTGCAATCTGTTTAAACAAGTTGTTTCATAACAACTGCTCTGTTGTCTTACAAGGGCGAATAACAAGGTTTCAACAACAGACGACGAAGGACAACTCAATATTTTTATATTTATTTTAAAAGTATCATCCTCTCTAAAGTTATAATACTCGTCTCTGAAATTATAATCAACTGAATCAAATAAGTCTACGCCCATATTGTATCAAAAATGATCGCTATTAAAGTAATTAACCTACTGTAATTATAATCGTCGCCTAAAAATAACCTAAATGAGGATCAGTACTGTTGTAGAAAATGCAATAAAACTAGTATCTACGTTAATCTTTAAGACATAAGAAAGATATATCTTTTTGAATTATCCAAATCGGACCATTACTTACGAAGATATTAAGTAATAAACATAGGCCGTTTTTGCCGCTAAAAGTCAACGTACGCAGGGCCGCGTGACGTCACTATATCCGAATCGAGCGCAGCCGGCGTACTATTGGGATGGAAAATATTTGTTTCCAGCTAAACTATCAGTTTTAGAAAAAAAACTTTTAATAACATTTATTCATTAAAATAAAGTAGGTAACCCCGATGGGTTACTTTATTTTAATATCGATATCATGATGATCGATATCAGTAATTTTTAAAAATAAAAATTGTGAAAAATAAATATCGCTATGTCCAAAGACCACATTTTCATAGGATTCGATGGAATGCGGAGACGCGGTTGGGGTGAGTGTAACTTTATGATTGTTTGTATTGAACATAATACATAATATGAGTGCTAATAACCAGTTTCTGGCCTAGGNCTACATTATTTCGTGCTATATTTAGACATGGAATTCCCGGTCCAAGTCTGAACTGGGATTATCTACCAAGTATGTGCTACCAAGCATATCAAGCTTGACACTGAGGTCTTAAGTCGTTGCTATATGTGTTATTTTGCAACAAAAATGTAGAGTCTGATGTGCTATCGTCTGTACCTAGATACACCAGTAGCTATACAGAACCTGATTCTTTAACCGTAAACGAGTCCTCGAGTCTTATTCTGCAATCGAATACCCGGCTGGCTCACGGTTTAATTCAAGCCTTATTACCTACTCGTCTTATAAGATACTAATGCCCGTTTTCACCATCAACCCCTAATTTTTAAGTGACCCCTATGAAAACAAAATTCCTGTTAAATGTTAGCATAGGGGTCACTTAAAAATTAGGAATTGATGATGAAAACAGGCATAATTCTACCTAATTCTTTACGGCTTGTGCGATTTCGCATGCGAATTGCAAATCTAATGCTTGGAAAATACGCCTCCTTATTTGAGTTTCGAAACGTAATGACTGTCCAAATTTTGGACTCCAAAATGATCAGCACTGTGCCCCTATATTATCGTAAAGGCACTAATGTAAACGGAAAGGATTTTTTGTTAAAAATGATGCTAAGAAAAGCAAAAGTAATTCGAAAATATGGAAATGCAACCTATAAATTATGACGGAGACAAATGCGTCGTAGGCGGCTCGGTATAGTTGCAATCTGTTTGAACAAGTTGTTTCATAACAACTGCTCTGTTGTCTTACAAGGGTGAATAACAAGGTTTCAACAACAGACGACGAAGGACTAACTCAATATTTTTATATATATTTGATTATTTTAAAAGTATCATCCTCTTTAAAGTTATAATACTCGTCTCTAAAGTTATAATCAACTGAAGCAAATAAGTCTACACCCATATTGTATCAAAAATTATCGCTAAAAAAGTAATTAACCTACTGTAATTATAATCGTCGCCTAAAAATAACCTAAATTGGCGGGTGGCCTTTCTGCTACTGATATCATACTTAGCAGGGGGGATGCTAAAAGACGATCATAATGCAAAAAAAATCAAATGAACGAGACCTTTTAGTGGAATGTCTAATGTTAAAAAGCTATTCGTTGACCTTTTGGGGGCTTCGATCCAAATAAAAAACACCGCAAGCAATCGTTTGCGATGTAAAAATAAGCCCCATTATCCGTCCATAGCATTAACTTTCGCGAGACCCCTTTCTATTTTGAGTCGTGATGGTCTTCAATATTGTATTACAAAGTTTAAATTATAAGAACAACGTCCATAACTGTTTTATAAATTGGCGTCTTGTCTTAGCATTCCTTTATCTAATGTCAAAGAGCGATGACACCAATTTAGCATCAGTAGGGGAAATGTTACTTTTTCGTAAAACTTTTGCTAGGATTAAAATTAAGAAGATTTGGCCGTATGCATTTAATGAACTGAACGTATTCATTGACAAGTATTCTTTGTTGAACACACCACACAGCTGGCAATAGATGAGAGCACCCAAGCAACGGCATAGTTCAAGCGGTCCTATCGCTCAAAAGCGATCTTGAAATTGTGTACCGACAGACTGATGGTCATTGTGGATTTATCATTAAAAGATAAGTTTTATTATATAAAGATAATGTTCATAACTGATATTGATCAATATTATCACTTGTAGATAATCGATATTGATTGATAAACACGGATTTATGACTTATGTAACGTATCCATATTTAATTCAGCACGAAATTGGTAATCTAGCAGAAATATAATTTTATACTTGGATATAATTTATAAGTAGAGAACGAGCATTTCGATAATATCTTAAAGTTTCGAGAAAGATTTTTCGATTGCTATGGAACACGCAATGTAACACATAACAGACTAAATTCACTTTGTTGTTAGTAGGTACATCCGCTTGACTCTTGATCATGTGCAGTGAACAATTCAACAAACACAAGTTTAAATCGAAGATAATTTTCTTCTGTTTAGTTTACATCCAAATGCTGTTTTACTTTCCCCAGATCCCGAGAGAGTTCATGATACAACTCGACTCAATCCTCACTGGCTTCACTGGGTTTTATTGCTGTCTAGTTATAGATTTTAGCTACAAATGGTTTGAAAATGTTCCATTCTGTATGTAGGTGCACATGCATAACACAAATAACACGTTAGCTACATCAAATAATCAAATTAAATACATCAAATCAATGTAAGGACTATAAATGAATAGGTCAGAGGTAATCAGTCCCTAGGCGTCAGTAGATTCATTGAGCAACCCATTCATTCATACATCGTGTGTGAGAACAACCGCGTTTTGCAATGGAAAAGCCATTGTGAAGATAAATTGTCTGACCTTGAATGACTTACGTTACAATATGGCTTTCGCTAACATGTGAAATTGAAAACAATAAGATGAAGGTTGAAAAACTAAAATTAGAAACTGGAACAAGTATAAAATATGTTATAGTTGAAAATAAATGTGTTCCATATTGCACAATAAATCAATATTAAATTTAAATGAACAGGATATGAGGTAACAGTGAATCTATCTAATAAGGAAAACGGATAACGCACTTCTTATCTATTTAAAATTCACCCTGATTCGCCATTGTTCTCAATTCGTACAAATTTCCAATGCCTCCATCCATGAGAACCTCCCCTGGGGCCAATAAATTTCAATACCTTCGCCGAATTCCATTAAATGGAAGACAATCAGACAGAATTGAATTAGAGGTGGCCTTCCTTCAGAGTTCCCGCATCCCACTGATAAGTTAATCAGTATGAAAAAGTATAAGAACATACAATACACCGATTTGATATTGGATCATATAAATGAGAAGCTCACCAAACTATAATTCGATTAAAATTCTGTATAGATACCAGCCTGCGGGGACTCTATTTTCTTAAAATTTCTCGGGCGATGGTCTTAAACCTAAGTAATATTATAGCTGGAATGATCATTTATTATTACTGTAAGTGCTAGGTTTATTACTCACAGTCAACTTCTGCGTCACCCTCACTGGCCAATAAGCTAGATTCGATAACGTTATTTGCCCAAGTGTTCGCCAAGGATCCGTATTTGTTCCCATGTTACAAACACCGAGAAGTGTAGATTATTTTAACAATGTATTTAGTTCAATGTTGAGTTTGCTTCTAGATTGGAAGCGTCTAATTCGGTAACATAATATTGGTCACGTTTGCATTATTAAACAAACGTTCAGTTATACAGGCTAAAGAAGATCCTCTTTATTTCTTACCCGTTAAGCAAACGTCGCTATTTCATGTCATATTATATTTTGAAACTTGAAGAGGTAATTTTTGCGTGAATTTATCTTGAAGGTAATAAAGTATCGATGGTGATGCCAATATCTCTATTGTCTCCACTCCACTCCCACATATTGCGAGAGTGGTTTTTTAATTAATTACTTAAAAAAATTTCAATGGAGTAACGTAATTAACGTTAATGAGGTAGATAATAAAAGTTAGTTCATTCAATTAAAACGATGGCTGCTGGTCTGACGTCACGGCAAACGTCGCTCCCTTCCCTACCCTAAAGTGCATCCGTGTTGCATTACCCATTATTCTATGACTGCGCCAAACACCAACNAAATCTTACCCAACTTCTGGCCGAGGGGGAAGTCATGCCCAGTTTATGACCTGGGGAGAGGAGGGGGGCGGGGGAGTCATACCCAGCTTCTAGGCTAAGATTATATAATTTCCAGGAGGGAGCAGCTGTCCTTTCCTGCAGCAGCTGGCCCGCCCATGGGAACGGCGAATAGATAGGTACAGTAGGCGCGCGAGTTCATGTCCATCGGCACTACCGCATTCCTCAGGATGGACATGAACTCGCGCGCCTACGGTACGTAGGTTAAACTCAGAAAAACTAAATAACAGGTAGGTATTGCGTGTACATCGAAATGATCTTCATAGCAATGTCTTGCTTGTAGCCTAGGCAGAGTGTATCTGCCTCAGCTATACCTTATTGTCAGAAGTAAATAAATTAATACTTATACATTTTTATATTTTACTTGGAAGAAGATATGACTAACAACACTTATGAACACTTTATTTGAATAAATCGCCAAATATACCACCGCGGAGACCCCAATCGCGTGACCGTATGGTTCCATTGAATCGTATGACCGTATGGATTTTTTGCGTTATTTTTCACAATTTATATTTTTAAAAATTACCTATCGATAGCTTACTTTATTCTGATGAATAAATGTCATTACAAGTTTTTCTCTAAAACTGACAGTTTGGCTAGAAAAAAATATTTTGTATCCACGCAGTACGCCGGCAGCGTTCGGATCGGATATAGTGACGTCATCGTTCCCGCGTTAACACGCAATGTACATAACAGACTAAATTCATTTTGTTGTTAGTAGGTACATCCGCTTGATCATGTGCAGTGAACAATTCAACAAACACAAGTTTAAATCGAAGATAATTTTCTTCTGTTTAGTTTACACCCAAATGCTGTTTTACTTTCCCCAGATCCCCAGAGAGTTCATGATACGACTCGACTCAATCCTCACTGACTTCACTGGGTTTTATTGCTGTCTAGTTATAGATCTTAGCTATAAATGGTTTAAAAATGTTCCATTCTGTAGGTGCACATGCACAACAAATAATGCGTTAGCTATTATCAATGTAAGGACTATAAATGAATAGGTCAGAGGTAATCAGTCCCTAGGCGTCAGTAGATTCATTGAGCAACCCATTCATTCATACATCGTGTGTGAGAACAACCGCGTTTTGCAATGGAAAAGCCATTGTGAAGATAAATTGTCTGACCTTGAATGACTTACGTTACAATATGGCTTTCGCTAACATGTGAAATTGAAAACAATAAGATGAAGGCTGTAAAACTAAAATTAGAAACTGGAACCACATTAGTTAAAATAAAGGCATTCTTTAAATCAGCATTAAACTGACATGAACAGGATACGAATCTATCAAATAAGGAAAATGGATAACGCACTTCTTATCTATTTAAAATTCTCCCTGATTCGCCATTGTTCTCAATTTGTACAAATTGCCAATGCATCTATCCATGAGAATCTCCCCTGGGGTCAATAAATTTCGATACCTACGCCGAATTCCATTAAATGGAAGACAATCAGAATTGAATTAGAGGTGGCCTTCCTTTAAGAGTTCCCGCATCCCGCTGATAAGTTAAATCAGGTATGAAAAAGTATGCAAAATACACCAATTTGGAATAAGATCTCTAAAATAAGAAGCTGATCAAACTATTGGCGATGGACTAAGACCCAAGTAATACAATAACTGGACTGATCATTTATTATTACTTTAGGTGCTAGGTTTATTACTCAGTCAACTTCTGCGTCACCCCGACTGGCCAATAAGCCAGATTCGATAACGTTATTTGCCCAAGTGTTCGCCAAGGATCCGTATTTGTTCCCATGTTACAAACACCGAGAAGTGTAGATTATTTTAACAATGTATCTAATTCAATGTTGAGTTTACTTCTAGATTGGATTGCGTCTAATTCGGTAACATAATATTGGTCACGTTTGCATTATTAAACAAACGTTCAGTTATACAGGCTAAAGAAGATCCTCTTTATTTCTTACCCGTTAAGCAAACGTCGCTCTTTCATTTCATATTATATTTTGAAACTTGAAGAGGTCTTTTTTGCGTGAATTTATCTTGAAGGTAGGTAATAAAATATCGATGGTGATGCCAATATCTCTATTGTCTCCACTCCACTTCCACACATATCGAGAGTGGTTCTTTAATTAATTACTTAAACATTTTTCAATGGAGTAACGTAATTAACGTTAATGAGGTAGATAATAAAAGTTAGTTCATTCAAATAAAACGATGGCTGGCGGTCTGACGTCACGGCGAACGTCGCTCCCTTCCCTGCCCTAAAGTGCATCCGTGTTGCATTACCCATTATTCTATGACTGCGCCAGACACCAACTTGATTACCATGGAAAAAAGCGGAAACTTCCAGGAACAATGGAAAAGTCATAATTGATTTGGGATTCTGCAGCTTCATTGTGACTAAAACAACGGAGAGACGGTTTTTTTAGGTGCTTTGTAGGTCTAGGTAGTAAGTAATATTTTATTTTCAAATAGGAAAAGAAACTATTTTGTAAAGTTTATGTGGCACACACAAATCTACAAAAACCAGACACAATACTTTTAGTTCTTGCCAAGAGCACACCAAGAGCTTCGAACTATGCTATGCATTTCTAAATTAAAATTTAATTACAGTCTAAAATTCATATCCGAGATGATCCTTTCATTTCCGCTCCTAAGCGCTGGCTCGGAGCCAGAAGTGGAATTCCTTAAGTTGTTTAAAGACTAACACCATTAATCACAATCCCGAATACTTCTCGAGGATTTCTTCCATTTTCTCATCAATAATAATCAGGTTCGAAAGTATGCAGTCGCTAAATTGCTTTACTAGGGTTTTATAAGACTCGAGATATACTTGCATAGTTTCATTATGATTATAGTGTGTAACAATTATCTGACCTCAGCCATTATTACCTACTTGCCTTTCTGATGCAAACGGGTTTGGAATACCATAGCTGAGAGAAAGTAGCTGCCAATCTGCAGTCTTGCAATGCTCTTCGGAATTCCAGCGGTCGCGTTCAAGTGAAACAAACGGAATAATGTATTCTAATAGGTTTTTAACGAAGTCGTTTAACGATAGACCTATCCAAACATGTGGCGGGCGAGTGAAGACAGTGAATGTTTACCCTGTGAGTCATGTAACTCCATGCACGGCGTTTTCACGTCGTTTAGCTTTTAACACCTTATTTCAAGTCACATAAAATTCATCTTGTCTAGTTTCCTCCTCGTCATCTATTAAATTAACACCGTTTTCCCCCCGAAGGGTAGAAAACGGATATTTAGGTTCCAGCGTAGCTTGACCCACTATTAAGTGTGTGTGAGATAACACCTTGGATTTTAGAGCGAGACAGCACGATATCCCTACCTCAACACCCTCCCCGCGCGACCGTACCCCCACCTAGCGGCGCGCGCGCTGACTTGTTGCGCCGGGCGACTGGCGTCGCTGCTCAGTACTATCACACAGCCGGCAAGGCATTTAAATATAGTGGGTCAAGCTACGCTGGAACCTAAATATCCGTTTTCTACCCTTCGGGGGGAAAACGGTGTTATTTAGGTGTCCGAGCTACGCTTGACCCACTATTAAGTGTGTGTGAGAAGTGTTTATTTTCTGCCGGCGCTGCATGTCAGTACAACTAGTTACTTTAGTTGACATGATTTTATGGATGTTGGTAGGGTAAAAATTAATTTAAATAAAATTCTGTTTAACATCACATTTTGTATTTATGTAATCTTATTGTTATCAAAGTACATAATTTATACTTTGTTAAATCAACAACTCTGAGAGAGTAACATAAAATAAAAATACTTCTTGCAAAAGAATAGTAAAATAGAAAATATAATAAAAA